TAATAAATAATAATATTAAACATAATCTTTTTTGGACGTCCGTGTATGAATAGGTGTATGTGGCAGGGAAATTGGTCGAAAAAATGGTCGTACGGGAATAATTTTTTTTTAATTATCTAAAGTAACACACGACAGAATTTCTTAGTTAATATGAGCGTTCAATTCACTGTCGTTAAATTATTATTTATAAAAAACTAATATATGACTGTGGATTTTTTTATATTTCTATCTATACATTTTATTATAGTATTTTTTTTTCCTCACCTTGCAGTTATGGCGCCACTAAACCATAGCAGTGTTTTCTGTTTTTTATTATTTTGCTTCTTATATTTTATTTTAATCAATTTTATTTTAAAAAATGAGATTATGAGGCGAGCACTTTTGGATTTTCCAAACTTTTTATTTATTATACTCATTTGATTTCATTCAATCTACCAAAACTATTGAATCTAAGCATTATATATCTTTATTAAAAAACCAATTAAAGGCAGAAATTTCAAATTCTTCAAAAGTTCTTGATGCAGCAATGTTCGACGATAGTTCATTCCATAGTTTTGTCGCTATTAGCAGGAATGAGTGCTCAAACGTTGCTGTCTTTTATTTGTTTAATAAATATATTCTTTGAGCTCAAAATGTGAAAGACGGTGCTTTAAGCTTGAAAAGCTAAAATATTATCCAAAAAACACATTTTAAGGCGCTTCAAATTCAAACTTAGCGGAAAGGTCTAGAGTTGGCCTGCGCGGTCAACCGATTTCCATCAGATTTTTTAATTAGAAATTATATTTTTTGTGATTCTCCTCGATAATTTGATAAAATTCATCATTTTTTTAAAATAAAATTATAGAAGCTTCCATAAAAATAAATAATTTTTTTAGGGCAAAAAATTATAATTTGTATAAGAATCTATTTTTTTTTTAATTTAATTAAAAAATTTAAAAATAAGTTTTAAAAAATTTTATACAATCAATTTTAAATGTTGAAGGTATAAAAATAGTTTTGTTTTTAAATCAAAAAGTTTTCTTACAAAAAATAGAAAAATTCTTTTTTGTGTAAAAAATTTAGCAAAACTTTTTACATTTTTTGAACTGTAAAATGAAAATGACAAATTTTTATTAAAAATATTTCTGCGTTCTAATTTTTTGTCTAAAATTTCAAATTTATTGTCATTAGGTAAAAAAAAAAAAAAATAAAAAATAAAAAAATTGAACAATTTAATAAATAATTTTTGATCCCAATAAAAAATATTTGAACTATAAGCTATAAGCTTAATATAAAAACCAAATTCCATTTCTAAGACTTAAGATAAATATATTAATATATGAATGAGGAATATCTACATAAGAATTCGTTTAACATCTGAGAACTATACAAAATATACAGCTAAGAAATATTCAAATGATCCGAGCTGAAGACTAGATTTTATAACAGTATTTTATCCTTAAAAACGGCTTCTGAAAAATTAAAACAGAAGATGAGTATTTTTTATGATAAACTGTAATTATTAATTTGAAAAAAAATAAGTGCAAATAAAAAATAGATCAAGTATAACAGGAAATTTGTAATTAGTAATTAGTAATTAGATAAAACAATAAATTTATTAAGGTTGTGCATTTTAAAACGTTATCTTGATTAAAGTCTGTATTTAAACAAGTCAACGGGTATCCAGGTATCCACTACACCTTAAGCCGATATCCACTCAAGTATGCAGTTGGATCAACGGTACTTCTTGGACACAAAATTATACATACGTGCTGGTGAAGTGGTGAATGACGTTACATACCGAATCAACAATTACATAATCAGGTCAAGATTTATTTTCAATAATTTTTATGTTAAGTATTTTTTTTCTCAACTTCTAATTGGATAATTTATTTTCGTAAAAAAAGTATTAATCACTTTTTATGTGATTATATGTGTAGTGTTGTAGTGTTTGAAATTTTAAAAAATAAGGAATGTAACTCTAACTGTTAGTTGATAATAATAAAAATAATAAACAGGGAGACTAAACCGGAATAGGAAGGAATATAAATAAAATTGAAAAATAAGGTAGAACGTAGGTAAGAGTAGAAGTAAAGTAAAGTATTGGATCCAGGAGAGTAAAATGAAGGAGAGAAGACGAAAAGAATGCAGCAGCAGCAGCAGGCGAATGAGGTCGCTACCGTTGAAGGCAAACTGCTGGTATAATGCCTCCTGGCTATCGTTTGCTTAGCTATCCTTCCTCTTTACTACTCGCAGCAATGCACTCCCAGCCTTTCCCTTAATATTGAGTTTAATCTCTTGAGTATTTATTACTTATGCATTACCATACGCCACATGATATAGTTATATGTTTATGTTCTACGGTCACCCTTCACATTCTCAGAATATTGATTCATACAAACATTTACTATTTATATTTATCTGTTTACATAAATAGTACTTAATAATTCTGATTTTTAGGACCTTATTTTTCAATTAAATAGAAGTTTTGATTGATCTATTTAATATAAACAAATAACCTGCAGTCACTATGCGACTGCCAAGATTTACGGATTATGAAAAAGAAAACTTTGACAATTCAGCTGCCCAATTTTAAAACACAGTAACTGCAAAATTTTTATACCTGATTTTTTTTTAGTATTGCTGCATTGTTTATAACTTTTAAACCTTAATTTCAAGTATTTTTTCTTAAAAAAATTTAATATATTTGAGTAGTTTCTATTCATAAATCAAATTTGTCATTAATTTGGCGGGCAAACTTTTTTTTAATAAGAAAAATTGAAAAAAATTTTTAGATGTTAGTTACTGTGTTTTGAAATTGGGCAGCCGACTTACTTTGGGTACTTTATAAATTAATTTTTGAAATAATAGTGCTATTACAGGATCAACTATAAATAATTTAATGGACAAATGTGACGGAAAAAATTTATAGAATCAAAATAGTAATTTATGTCATATGGCCGCAAAGTGGCGATTTTCTGACAACGACGATGTTGCGATGTGAGCTTAAGGTTCGTGGCGGGAATGCACAAAAACGGGCGTAATTTTAAGGTCCGAGGCGAAGCCGAGGACGGAAATTTACGCTCGTTTTCGTAAATTCGCGTCACAAATTTTAAAGCAAATATCGTAAAATCGTCGTTGTCAAAATCACCACTTAGTGGCCAAATGACATACAATATTTTTTGTTATTATCGCTCCATAAGTTTAACTTTTGAGGGATAGGAGGCAAATAATGACATTCAAATTTGATGAAGTTTCACAAGAGCAAAAAAACTTAATTTTATATTAATTATCTTTTTATTAATATTTATTTATAACGCGCTTGTTATTTTATTAACATTAGGTCCACTTCGTAATAAACTGTCAGCAGAGAAAGAATTAGCGCCATACTCAGTAGTAACTAAGTTTAAAATTTACTCAAAATCCATCGGTCAATACACTAGAATTTGATTTATTTTGTTCTAAATTTCATCCGATTGCACAAGGACAGTACGGAAAAGAAGGGGAAAGTAAACTTTGCGGCCTAGGCCGCGGAAAAAAGGCAGTATGGTAGAATCTTTAAAAATGAGTATTTTTTCGGACGCCACCCAGCGCTTAAAAGTTGAACTTTTGGAGCGAGTATAACAAAAAAGTATTTAAAACTCCTCCAAAAGCTTGACATAAAAAATTGACTAGTAAAAAATATATAAAACCAAAAGGCACTTATTCTTATCAAGACCTTTTTGATGATAACAAAATTAACTATAAAAATTTCTTTAAAAATAATAATATGCTCGTCACAAAATTTTCCTTACTCTCTCAATTATTTAAATGATTTTGATGCAATTAGTAGTATTCAATGACGATTTTTTAACGCAATTCGATTACTCTTAACATTAAAATCTATGACAATATCCTTAAAGTATGAGTATAAGTTGAGAAATTTTCTCTAATGATATCAATTTGATTTTATTTGTTTAGAATAAACTAGTTTCAACTTTATCTTATATTTTTAGCTTATTGTTATAATGCATGATAAGTATCTCATAATTAATAGGAAGCGTGTGACACGATAGAGTACTCATTGATAAAGAAATAAATAATGCAAATGTAAATGGATAATTGTATTGTTGCGGAGCTTTTTCATGATTTTTATAAAATTTCTCTCGGTCAGGAAATTCCTAAGTACGCCAGTACTCGGAAATTCATAAAAAATTCACGTGAGTTCCGCCTGGTTATAATAGAGCATGATTATCAAAACAAATCAGTCTTTGATCGTACTTGCTGGGTTTAAATATTTCAAACAATACGTTGAAATATTAAATCTTTGGCAGCGTAATAAAATACCCGCTAGTAAAATACCCAAACATTAAAATCTTAGCAACTAACTGTCGTAAAAAAAAATTGAAGCATAATTTTCCAAAAGCTACAGAAAAAAAATCTAGAAGAACCTGCCAAATTTATTTTTATCTCTCCTTTACATGAACGTCATCATTTTATTTGTCGATATTTTGTGGTGATACAAAATCTTCAAACATCAAGATGATGTTTTTTGGACACTTATCTATACTTTGCCTTTCATTCATAATACCTTGGACGCACAGTAAATTATTTCAATTCAAAAACTTCTCTTCAACTTATCAGATAATGGTAAGTAAAATGGAAGGAAAAAATTTTTGCATTTGATACCCTGATAGCCAGAGTTTCAGATTAACAAAATTGGTGTCAGATAGTTAGCAACAACTTGCTGTCAAGCTCCGAATTTGCAACTTTTGGTCTCAAATTGGCTCCAAGTTTCTGAGAAAAAAAAGAACAATCGACTGACGCAATTTGTCACCCAATTTCTTGAGAAACTTGTCTTCAATTTGAAGTGAAAAAGTTTCAGAAGTAGTTTTTGCTGACAACTTGGTGAACAAGTTGACACCAATTGAGTACATTTTCAAGACTTACTGGCAACTTGGTGATAAGTTGCGGCAGTAAATTGCAGAAAGTTGCGACCAACTTGGCTATCAATTTTCCATTAATAATAGGAATCAATATCAATGGAATCGTGCATTTCTGAAAAATTGAATCCAGTTGTCGGATCGAATGACATCATAAATGTTATTGGTGAATCATTATGGACCAAAGAAATGATACCAACAATTTCAATCGCCGAGAACTTTGGAATCAGTAATGATAATATTAAATCTTATTTTTTCATCGTAGAAGTTTCTCAAGAATGTAATGATAATGATGCATGGAATATTCTTCAAGACATGTGGAAGATGAATTTACTGTCATCCCTATTTATTTGCCGTGATACTGATAAGACTGTTACATTATATACGTACAATCCTTATGCTCAATATGCACCACACCCATGGCAACATGTGAACTCTATATTCAAGAAGCAAGGTCAACAATGGACATTATTTAAGAAGTTATACTCATCAGGTACATCAATCAAAGTTTGTTTCATAGAAATGATCATAAGATCTTAAAAATTAACTAATGAGTTATTAGTTCAATATTTTATTTTTTATTTAGGTCGGCATGGTTGCAACAAGTTGTTTTTTGATAAAACAAAACTCCTAAATGGATCTGAAGTCGTCACTATAAGACCTTATTTTCGTCGTATAGTAAACGTGACCCATGATGTCGACTCGATAAAAAATATAATGCCATACCATACGAGAATGACGTTTAAAGAAATTGTTTTTGTTTTAAACGTAAGACCCCTAATTTATTACTCTGATCCTAAAGACAAAAACGATCCTATAGTTCAAACCAGTGAACAATTTCTCAACGATTTGATCAATGGTATATATGACATTTCCTCAGCGCACTCAACTATCACAGATGATACTTTTCTGGAGTACTACAACTTCTGGAGTTCCACAAGGGTCTGTTCTTGGACCCATATTATTTTTATTAATTATGAACTCTGCGGCTAAACGACTTGCTTATACAAATCATGGTTTATTTGCTGATGACATGTATATTTATTTACATTGTTATAGTCATCAAATTCATGAAGCCACTAGACAACTGAACCTAGATGCTCAAGCAGTAGTAAATTGGGCCAGAGATAATGGGTTAGAGGTTAATATACTTAAAACTAAAGCAATGGTAATAGGATCAAATAACAAGGTAAAAACTCTTATGAGAGAAGGTATTCCAGATCTAGAAATTGATGGTGTACCTCTCCCTTATGTTGAATCAACCAAGTGCCTTGGACTTCATTTTATGTATAATTTATCATGGAACTTACACATCTCAAAAACTATAAGTAAAATAAATTCGGCATTATATAGCCTGAAATTACGTAGAAATATTTACACTTCATCAATTAAAAAACTACTTGTATCGGCAACTATTTTACCATTAATTGATTATTGTTCCATAGTATTATTAAATTCAAATTATGAAAATAATTGTAAACTCCAACGCTCATTAAATTCAGCAATACGCTTCATCTTCAACTTAAAGCGAGATGAACATGTCTCGCCTTATAGACGTGAACTGGGATGGCTCTCGATAAAGAGTCGTCGAATTTATTTTACTTGCTGTTATTTTTACAAATTATTAGAAACTAGTAAACCTAGCTATTTGCGTGAATTATTTCAGGAAGATCTCAGTGTAAGACGCTCTGAGAGACTAGCAGCCAAGAAAAATAATATCCTCTTTAAGTTCCCAAATTTCAGTACCACTCAATATGAGTCTTCTTTTGTAATAACAGTTATACGATTATGGGAAGAATTACCGGAGGATATTATAAATTCTTCAAGCTTGGAGGTTTTCAAAAACAAAATTTTTGATTATTTATTTAATCTAGATGTTTGATTACAAACTACTATTAATGTTTCTATCTTTTGTTTCATTAATCCTCAAGCTTTAATAAATCTTCATTATATAGTTTCTTTATAATTTAAAGTTTCATACCTGTATTTATAGTAACATAAATGATTATTAAAATTTGTTAGTTAATTCATTATAAATTAAAATTTTTTATACTTATATAGTATTATATGTCACTATCATTTATCTAAAAATATTATTTTATAAAACATTCTAAATATTTATAAGTTAAACTGCACAATAATGTAAAAACTGTATGTATATGTACTCTTTGCCATTTGGCAATTGCCTTGGCATAATTTTTAAATAAACTAAACTAAACTAAAACTTTTGACTTTATTTATCCAAGAGTTTCCGGAACTTTTTTAATAATCACCCATCACAATAAAGTTCCCTCGGATTTAGAAAAAACAGAAACTGTTTTCAGTACTCTAGTAATTATTCTTAATGTTCTTGTTTTTTTAATAACGTGGATTGTACTGACACTCTGTAAAAGACTGTCAATTGGATCAGGGTTACTCGAAATTTTGCGATTAATATTAAGTACAAGTATTTTGTTAAAGTTTTACAAAAATTCTCTAAAAATTTTCGTGATTTCCATACTTGTTTTTGTGATGCTTATGAATGGTATTTATCAAAGCCATATGTCAGCATATTCAACAAAATTATACCGGGAAGAGATAAATAGTATCACCGACTTACAAAATTCAAAATATACAATTTCTATGAGACCACATCTTACAAAAGTTTTCGGAGTTGATTTATGGACAGACACTCAGAAAAAATATATCCAGTTTGAATATTCGTTACCTTGTCAAAAGGTTTATTACAGTAATGACTCTCGGACAGCATGTCTAACTAACATTATTTATGCATGTGAAGCTATAGATAATAATTTACGTGTACTTTTACACCATAGTCATGTACTATATACTATAGGAATTCGCAATGATTGGTCTCTTAAACCTAGAGTTGATCATATCATGTCACAATTGGCTGAGGGAGGTTTTTTGCTTTTATGGAAAAATCATGAAAACAGTGAACTACAGAAAAAACTAAACTCTAGGGAAAGTGAAATATCCAATCAGTATCGACCAATTTTTGTGTCAGATTTATACTCGACTTTTTCATTTTTAATCATTTCTCTATCAATATCATTTCTCGTTTTGATTGCCGAAGTTTCTATTCCACGATTGCGCTCATCTATATATATGTAAGCAAAATAGGGTTCCTTTGACCAAAGTTGACGTCAAAACTACTGAAGCTATCAGGATGGGACTGCTACCATTCGACGCAGAATTTTGAAATAATTTCATACAATTGTTCTTCAACTGCTTCAATTAATTTGTAAACAGTTATAAAAAAAAACGGTTATCTGATTCAAGAAAATGTTTGCTTTTAATTTGATACACTTGGCTCAAAATTGTGTTATTTTTCAATCAAAAAAAAAAAAAATTACTTATGGATTTAATTAAAAGAACTCTTGCATGACAATTGAATTAATATCTACGATTTATTACAGTATTTGACCCTACTCAAGTCTTTCTAGTGTGAAACTATAAAATTACATTTCAGGCAATTTTATTCTCTGCAAACGTTAACATATAGGGGAGAGGTGCTGCAATTGTAACAAAAATTTTGTTTTTTCTAGTCCATTTGTTTCTTTTAAGATAGTAAACTTAAAAACTGTCAGAAAGTTAGTTGATAGTATCTTTTATGTGACTGACTTAGTTAATTAATTTATTTAATTAAAAAATTGTAAGGTTGTGTCTAAGGAGCAAGATTAAAAGTTTATAAACTCTTTATTTATCAATAATTTATTAGCAGTTAATAAAATAAACATTGTTATTTTATTTTCATTGTTTATTTAATAAATAAGTCCGACCCCAGTAATATTAGTAAGCATGGCTTAGTATAAGTATATTAAAGTTATCTGTTTTGTTATGTTGTGTGATCTTCCAATCGACTCCTGGATCTGATGAGCTACTCCACCGGAGAAAACTTCGAAAAACATTCGGGGTGAGGGCTTCCAGCCTTCCGCAACGATGCAAATTCTTATTCTTATAGAAATGAGTATTGGTCTTATGTTTTAAAAAAATATTAGAATTACGATTTGAAATTTGTCATTTTTTTACAGTTTTGCTAACTGTTTGTTATTTCAATCGATGTTGCTTGATAAGCTTAATTACAAATATCACGTGAAACGATTGATCTAATTACTTTATCCACGACAATAACAAAGCTGTTGTAAAAAATGAATCAGCCAATAAACGATAATTGTATAATCATTGTCATCTGAAAAACTATTCCATCGAGTAATTATTGACTTCCCGCTAAAAAAAATCAAAGATTTTCGAAAATCGGGAAGTTATTAGTTTTACCCCGTTTTGCAAAAATCGAGTTTTCATCAGATCTCGACGTTTTAAGGTCACAGGAAGCTTCCTTGACTATCCTTATGTTTGTAAGTATGTGACCCGCTTATGACTTTTGAACGACTTAACCGATCGAAACCCAAATGAGTTTAGCCGGTCAAATTAAACAACATGTTATTAGTTTTAACCTGACATTTTCAAAAATGGAATTTCCATGACAAAGTCATGAAAATCGAAATTTTTGCTACTTTAAAAATTTGAAATAGAAGTTAAAAAAATTTTGATGTTTTATTAGTCGTATTTAATCATAAAATTGGATTTTTTTTTTCTGTGGAATACAACCCTTAATTCTTGTTTTTCAAAAAAATTTAGATAAGAAAGAAGAAAAAAGTTAGTTAATTCAAACAGATTATAAATGTAAAGTTATATTTTTTCAGTTTTTTATTACGCTTCTTTTACCTACTGCATAGAAAATGTATTAACGATAAATACTCAGCATGTTAAAGTTTGATTGAAAGATAAAATAAAAACGAATTTCGAGTTGAAATTAAAATTAAAAGATAATTGTCTTGAAGACTTCTATTCTTTTGATGTTAGGATTGCCGCTTAATACAAAATGTTCATTGAATTCTCAATACTCTCACGATATAGCATGAAAATAATAAGTAACTCATGACTTTAGAATGATATTTAACATTCTTAAATAATTGTAGTTGAAAAAGGTAATAAAAATAAAATATAACTAGTTAAAAACATTAATTATACGGAGAGAAATTTATAGGAATCTTTCCAACAATTATGGGAATGGATCCTATAATAAAATTATCATTATAGGCATTAATTCTATACTCATTATGGGAACCATACCCATAATTTATTGGAAACGTTCCTATACAATAACGGAATAGCTTCAATATA